TCAGTGACTGAATATTTGGAAGTAGTTCATGTCTCCTTCTTCCTAGGCTATCTTCGTCTGTAGTGATGCGTATCCATAATTAATTTCTCTGTGACAGTGTAAGTAGTGCAAGTCCATGTTGCCTCATCTTTAATTCCAACATTTAAAATACTCTTACTGGTTTCATGCCGAACTCTCTTGGCAGTAAAATCAATCCTGATCTGGCATAAGACTATAATCTTTATTATTTTACTTGAAGGATCAGTAGTTGGTGGTACAGTAGTTACGCATTCAGCTTCTAACCAAAAGGTTGACAGTTGAAATTCACCAGCTACTCTGCAAGAGAAAAATGTGTCTCCCATAAAAATTTGTAGCCTGGAAACAGAATAGAATCAAATACTGTTGAATGATGGTGCACGGAGGAGATTATAATTATTGCAATGAAACGATGTGGGTAAAACCCATGTTCTCCCATGTAAATTATCACTCAATTCATAAAAAAAAAAAAAGATAAATGGAGAAATGTCTGATGTTGTCAAAGACTTCATTCAACCATGAATACTCATGGAAGCAGCAGTCAAGAAACCAAATGATGTATTACATTAGGTACATCTGCTGCGCAAGACCTCTTTAAAGTGGTCAAAAGCAAAGATACCAGTTTGAAGACTAAGGTATGTCTGACCCAAGCCATTTTATTTGCAAAAACCTCAGATGCACGTGAAAGTTGGACATTGAATAAAGAAGACTGTAGAAGAATTGATGCACTTCAGTTATGGTGTTGGTGGAAATATTGAAAGTACCATGGAATGCCAAAAGAACAAACAAATCTGTGTTGAAAGACGTACAGCCCGAATGCTCCTCAGAATCCAGGATGGCCAGACTCATCTATCATACTTCAAACACATTACTAGAAGCTCATCATGCTTGATAAAGGGGAAGGTCAGTGAAAAAGAGGAAGACTCCCAAAAAAGCATTGACACAGTGGCTTCAGTAATAGGTTCAAACGTGACAAATATTATGAGGTTGGCACAGGACTGGGCAGTGTTTCTTTCCATGCTTATAGGGTTGCTATGAGTTGGTACTGACTCGATGGCAACTAAAAACAAAATAAAAAATAAATGTGTGTTTCTGTGAAAATAAAGAGAAGAAGAAACTATGAGAGAATAAATTGTCCTCATTAAAGCCCACCCCCAAATAATAATTGATAGCCTTAGAAACCCTATGGAACAGTTCTGCTCCACAGAATTGACTTCATTTATTTTGGGGGTGATATCTCACTTAAGGTAAGAACCGGACTGTTAACTACAAAGTTAGAGGTTTAAGCCCAGCAGTCACTCCGAGGAAACCCTATACAGGATCACTATGAGTCAGAACAGATTTGACAGTAAGGAGCTCTGGTAGTGCAGTGGTTACGAATCGGGCTGCCAACCTCAAGGTCAGCAGTTCGAAACTACCAGCAGTTCTGTGGGAGAAAGATGAGGCATTCTAGTCCCGTAAAGATCTGCAGCCTCGGAAACCGTGTGCAGGGTCACTATGAGTCGGAACCAACTCCACGGTACTTAACAACAACAAACAAATATGGACCTTTGTAAGATTTGCTACTAATGTTAATATACTTGGTTTACAGGTGTAATGAAATATGGTATATGTACCATGTTGTTGTTGTTGTTGTTAAATGCCATAGAGTTGGTTCCGGCTCATAGCTACCCCATATAGGGTTTCTGAGGAGCAGCTGGTGAGTTTGAACCTCCAACCTTGTGGTTCAAACCAATCTTGCAGTCCAGCACATTAACTTGCCACAATACACCATGACTCAGTGTACCATGTTATATTTTTTTTAAATTCTGAAAAGCTTGAATTATGAAACACATAGGGCACCTGGTGCTTTGGAAAAGGAAATTGTGGACCTATGTTATAAAAGAACATAAGCATTGTAACTCCAATGTCAGCTGGCATAATACAGCCCACAAAGGCAGTGTTCTACATTCTCCTCTGATGAGTAGTGAGTGGGTCCTTACAAACTCATGAGTGGCCATCTAAGGTACAACTATTGGTCTCCCCCTGTCTGGAAGAAAGAAGAGTGATAATCAAAGACACTAGAAACAAGTATTCAAGTGAATTCATAGACCATGTGAACATCAGTCTCCACACCCTTAAGACTAGAACAGCTAGATGGTCCCCAGTTACTACTACCAACTGCTCTGAAAGGTATCACATTAGAAGTGATAGAATGGGAGAAAACTGTGGAACAAACTCACGATCATTAAAAAGATCAGGCTGACTGGTTGGATGGAGATAGGTGGAGCACCTGAGACTGTGGCCCTTAGTCAACCATCAAGTCTGAAAATTAGCTCACTCTCATGGCTGAAATAGTAGGTCTTAACAACAACAACAAAGGGAAACAATTGTTGTTGTTGTCAGGTGCCATCGAGTCGGAACCAACTCATAGCGACCCCATGCACAGCAGAACGAAACAATGTCCAATCCTGGGCCAACCTC